AAAAAAAAAAAAAAAAAAAAAAAGAAAAGATAACGAACATTTCCATTATAAGATAAGCTGGCCCTCTAGTCCTTTGTATAGAAGTCTCTTTAATACAAGTCATAACTAGTTCAGCCAGTCAACCCTGAAATAATAATAACTTTGATAAGTATAAACTTTTAGCTGGACATGTGGCACATAACTGTAATCCCAGTACTGAGGAGGGTAAGACAAGAAAGTTGTTATAAGCGCTGGGCCAGTCACTGAAAACAGTAAGAACAACAAAAACAAACACAGTAACAGCCAAAAAACAAAACAAAACAAAACAAAAACCACCACCAACAAAAACCAACCAAACAAAAACAAAAAACCCAAAACAACCCCCAATCCAAATGTTTAAAAGTCTTATATTTGATCAAATTATACACATGAAGATATAGTACTTTTGGCTCATTCAAATGCACAGAACAGAAATTCCTATAAAATGCAATTGTGCTGTCAGTAACTACTCCTGGGAAATCTGTAAGACCCACTACCATTTTCTTCCAACGGATACTCCTCAAACCAGAACATCCCATAAGGTATTGTGCTGGGGCTGGGACAACCCTGGAAGTGTTCTGTAATCTCTAAGGCACAGCTTCCAATGGTGCATAATGAGTCAAGGCAGCCAGCTGCTACACTGGGCCCCAGACAATGGCAGTGGGTAAGGGTGGGGATAAACATTTCTGAAAAATCAACTGCTATCATCAACTCCCAAAACTAATGCTACAGAAAGCTCCTTTCTATACACACTGTGAAGTAACACAGGGACAGGGACAGGGACAGGGACAGGGACAGGGACAGGCTTCTATCTTCTCTCATCTTTGGCATTTTTTATTTTTATTTGTGAGAACACACAGAACACACATGGCAAATAAAAAGGCCATTTTCTGTAATAGTCAAGCATGTCCAAGTCTCCCATTATTTAGTTGTGACTCTTTGAGTATGGGATAATGCTCAGTCATGGATGACAGGTGTTTTGGACTAATGAGACCAAATGTCTGAAAGTGAGATTGTTTCTCTTTAGGAGTAAAGTCTAAATTAGTATGAAATATGAGTTATAGTTAACATATAAGCAGTACTTCTAGATAGAAAGAAATAACCTGTACAGGCTACTATCATATAAGGGACTGTCTCAGAGAAAAAAATAACTCTTTGCACATAGATGAAAAGCAGCTACTATACAGCATGTTCTCATTATTGAAAAAAAATCCTAAAGAAGTAAAAAGAAAATGTTTTTAAAAACTCTAATCCTATTATTCTACTTGAAGTCTTTCAGTTTGTACATAAACATACAGTTTATGTCTGCAGCACATTCTTTCCTTTTGAAAACAGTGTATCCCAATGATCTAAGATGCCTTTGTTTGTAATAACCATCCTCTTATACATCCCTAAGAGGAGAAAATATTGCTAATTAAACTAGAACAAAATAGCAACTATAGAGGACACTAGATTTTAGAGTTTTTTTTTTAAAGTATGATTGAATTAACAAAATAAAATGTGACTATCTTGTTTATTAAAATTCACACACATATTCATGGTTGCATAGTTTCCTGTATGGTATCTTTGTGTACTTTTTTTTTTAAGATTTATTTATTTATTATGTATACACTGTTCTGCCAGCATGTATACCAGCAGACCAGAAGAGGGCATCAGATCTCATTACTGTGGTTGTGAGCACCATGTGGGTGCTGGGAATCGAACCTGGGTCCTCTGGAAAAGCAGCCAGAGCTCTTAACCACTGAGCCATCTCTCCAGCTGTTACACAGAGAAACCCTGTCTCGACAAACAAAACAAAAAGCACTCGATGCTCTGCTTAACATATATTTGGTACCCAAAAATGTAATTACTTGCTTACCTTAAAGCTGAGATGTGAGGCTCTTTTCTCTTCTTCAAATCATCAGACTTGATCATAAAGAAAAAAAAAAAAGAAAGGAAAAAAAGGATTTCCTTGTTATAGCATATTGGATGCAAAGAAGAACAGTGAGGACTCTGATAGTAGAACATTGTGGCTGAGCCTAGACTGAAGAGAACGACCAGGTCTGATAACAATCCCTTCATCTTACAGCTATGATGTGGGCAAGTGACTTAGTGTCTTTGTACCTTATTCATTCAGCAAACACTGAAGTAGTTACTGCAGAGAAGTTGACATTTGTTACGGAGTCATACAGTGAACATAAAGTGTAATTCATTAGCATAAAGGTGACAAGTGCACAGGAAAAACCAACAGAGAGAGGAATGGGTTGAGCCGAGAGTAGGAAAGGCCTGCAATTGTAAGTAGGTGAGTCAGGTAGACTGCAATGAGGAAAAGCACAATTTGCCCCAAATACTGGAGAGACTCAGTGGCTGGGGGAAGCGCAAATGGGGGAGCAGTAGGTGAGAGTCAAAGGCCTATTAGAAGGCATTGTGTTGGCCTGGAGGCAATCTGTGTATGATGGCTTTTACCCAAGAAAATGAAGAGTTATTAAGTTGTCAAGCAAAGGAGAAACGTGAGGTGATATCTTGAGAGAAAACTCCCCATTATGTAGAATCTAGTATTTTCATCACTTGAAAACCATACAGTTCCATGGGTTTCACACATTCATCATGCAGCCAACCATGCTACATAAGCCCAGAATTTAACACTACAAAATGAAATCTTGTATCTATTAGGCAGTTGCGCTCAATCTTTTCTACTACCAGCTCCTAACAAACACCACCCTATTTCTTGTTTCTATGGGCCATCTGCCTATTCTGGACATTAAAAAAAAAAAAAAATCATATAATACACAGCATTTTGAGTCCACAATTATTTTAATTTTTTTTTTTTTTTTTTTCCCCCGAGACAGGGTTTCTCTGTGTAGCTTTGCGCCTTTCCTGGAACTCACTTTGTAGACCAGGCTGGCCTCAAACTCACAGAGATCCACCTGGCTCTGCCTCCCTGATTGCTGGGATTAAAGGCGTGTGCCACCACCGTCCGGCTATTTTAAAATTTTCTATGTATTATAAGTAGTAGGTGTATAAACGTAGATATGGCTGTGCCATGGTGCACGTGTGGAGGTCAGAGGACAACATCAGGGTTCAGTTCTCCCCTCCCACCTGGTTGAGGAAAGGTCTCTCTTGTTTCTACTGTACTGCATACTTTGGGCTAACTGGCCCACAAGCTTCTTGTCTCCACCTCCCATCTCACCAGAGGAGGCCTAGATTACAGATGCTTGCCACCATATCTCACTTTTTATGTGGGTTCTGAACTCAGTGGCAAGTGCTCTCACCTACTAAACTATCTCAGTGTTCCCAGAGTCTCACTGGCTTCTATTAGTTAGCAAAACATTTCTAAAGTTCATCATGTTGCTGCTCTGACTTACTTTTTATGATTAAATAATACTCCACTAGATGGGCATACTGCATTTTGTTTACCCATTAATCAGTGGGTAGACGTCTGGTTGCTTCTATAAACATTGTTTCTATGAATATCTGTGAGCAAGTTTTTATGTGAACAGGTATGTTCTAATTCTCTTGAATTCACTTACATGAAAAGAACGAAATGGTAACAGTTAGATAAGTGGGTGAAGGTAGGAGACGGGTTAATACACTCAAGTGGTTATCATGGTGAGAGATACAGCTTGGAGGGGTGAATGCTGTTGATGGTGGAAGTGTAGGAGGTGTTGGGGATGCAGTGAAGAAAGAAAGTGTCCTCAGTGGATGGGACATGAGGAGTGAACAAGGACTTAAGAATGGCTCGTTTCGAGCTGAGGTCAAGAGGAGCAACAGAATTAGAGGGAGGAGACTAGGAGTTTAGTGTTGGTTGTAAACCTGTGACTCCTAGACATCCAAGGAGACAGAAAGCCATGAGACTCCATGGAAATCTGTGCTCAGTCTTAATTCAGGGATCAAACTATTCAGGATCGGGTATTCTGGCATTAAGGACTCACCTGGAAGTTGGGTCTATGGACTGGTGAGATGGCTAAGTGTGTAAAAGCGCTTATGTACAAACATGGTGACCAGAGTTTGACACTCAGATCCTACATAAAGATGGAAGGTGGGGACCAGTTCCACAACACTGTCCTGTGACTGCCCCTCCCACCGTGCCCTCCCAATAATATTAATTAAAATACAAACAGATGTTGGTGACAAGGGGAAGACTTAGTAAAGGAAATTAAGAGCGTATGTGTGGTAGTTTGAATGAGAATGGTTGACATGGGTTCATATATTAATTAATATATATAATGTAATTAATATTAAATGCTTGGTTCCCAGTTGGTGGACTATTGGGAAGAGATGTGCCCCTGGGAATGGGCTTTGAGGGTTCAAAAGCTCACACCATATCTATTGTGGATGAGATTTGAGTTCTCAGCTACTGATCTAGCATCATGCCTGCCTGCCTGCTGCCATGCTTCCCACTATGATGGTCATGGACTCCAACCCTCTGAACCTGTAAGCCCCCATTAAATGCTTTCTTCTCTAAGTTAAGTTGCCTTGGTCATGGTGTCTTTTCACAGCAATAGAAAAGTAACTAACACAGCATGGTATCCTGAAAGGAAAGTGAAAATATGTCCCTAGGAAGGAGGCATGCAAATGCTTCTAAAAGGTCAAGGATTATCTGCCTTTGTAGCATAGTAGGTATTGTGTTGGTCTCTAAAAAGTCAAAGAATAGCTGGGTGTGGTGGTGCACGCCTTTAATCCCAGCACTCGGGAGGCAGAAGCAGGCAGATCTCTGTGAGTTTGAGGCCAGCCTGGTCTACAGAGTGAGATCCAGGACAGGCACCAAAGCTACACAGAGAAACCCTGTCTCAAAAAAAAAAAAAAGTCAAAGAATGACAAGTGAAGGCTGTATTTACTAATGCTGAGGCTGAGAGGAACCTTGGCAGGCACAGTGGTAAAGGTAAAAGAGTGATCGAGTGTGCTTACAAGAGGAGGAAAGGAAAGGACGTGAAGCAGTTTGGACAGCCCTTAAAAGAACCGTGCTAGTAGATGTGATGTCACAGGCTGGTAATCCAGCACGCAGGAGGTAGAGGCAGGAGGAGAGTCAGTTTGAGGCTAGCCTAGACTATATCTAGAGACCTAGCCTCAAAAAAGAAAACAAAAAACAAATAAATAAACAAACAAACAAATAAATAAATCTCGGGTGATGGTGGCCAGGCCTTTAATCCCAGCACTCAGGAGGCAGAGGCAGGCGGATCTCTGTCAGTTTGAGGCCAGCCTGGTCTACAGAGCGAGTTCCAGGACAGGTTCCAAAGCTACACAGAGAAATCTTGTCTCAACAAACCAAACCAAACCAAACCAAACCAAACCAAACCAAACTAAACCCAAAACAAGCAAGCAAATGAATAAAAAACAGGATGGAAGCTGAAGGGGAAAATTAGATCAAGATCTTTTAAATTTTCATTTAATTGAAAAAATTTTAATGGAAAAAAAACCTAATAGAGTTTTGTTATTGTTGTCATATTAAATTGAATGATCCAGAAGAGAAGGAAAAACTTACATGGTTTCCTATTTGTAAAACAGGAATAGTAGTACACTCTGTCACAGGACTCTGATGAGGACTTAATAACCAAAACGCTTGGGCTGTCATCAAGTATGTACTAGTAATGCTTAAAAAATATAGCCAGGCAGTGGTAGCACACGCCTTTACTCCCAGCACTGGGGAGGCAGAGGTAGGCAGATCTCTATGAGTTCGAATCCAGCCTGGTCTACAGAGTGAATTCCAAGATAGCTGGATCTACACAGAGAAAGCCTGTTTCAAAAAACAAAATAAACAACAAATACAATATATATTATATAATATAAATATATATAAAAATATTTTACAAATCCTAATGTCAGAGATCCAATTATCTGTCAAATTTATAGCACATGCAAAGAAAAAGTATACAGGTGAAGAGATCTTGTCCAAAAGTGAGCAAGGCAAAAAAAAAAAAAAAAAATTATTCACAATGGGTAATGGCTTTTTTCTTTTTTTCATCACCCAGAGCCATTTTTTGCTTTTTTCTCAAGCTTACTTTCACTTGTCAAACAGCAACAACTAAAAACCACCCTGGGGTTGAGACTGCTCAGTCATTGCAATGCTTGCCTTTCCAGCCTAAGAACTTAGGGCCGATTCCCAGAATCCACAGAGAAAAAGCTGGGTGGCATGTGCTTTTAATTTCAGTGCTAGGCTCACAGGTCAGTCAGTCTAGCCTGCTTGATAGCTTCATTCAGGCCAATGAGAAACCCTGATTCAAAACAAAGGTGGATGGTGCCTGAGAAATGGCACACACGTATATCCACAATTGCTGAACACACACACACACACACACACACACTCACACATACACACTCACACACTGGTATCTCAATTTAGTAATCAGAGATCACTTAGGATTGAAAAGTTGGTATAATTATAAAAGCAATAACTTGTTTTTTCATTAACCTGGTAAACTTTACTGGAATAAAAGTTTGATTTGCATTAGATTTTATGGATAATTCAATCATTTGTACAAGGCCTATAAATTAGAGTGGAGTAGGATCCTGTCAGCTGACCAGATGATCAGTTCCAGCATAAAAGAATGAGGTATTAATTAGTCACCCTCTTATTCCAGATAAAATCAAAAGAGAAGTGCAAAAAATAATAATAATTCATCTGCTTCGTTTTTGAATTTTCAAAATATTTCAGTTTTATTTTATGTGTATAGATGTTTTGTCTACATATATGTCGTGTATCACATGGTGCCCTTGAAAGCCAGCAGAGGGTGCTGGATTCCCTGGGACTGGAGTTATAGATGGGTGTGGGCAACCATGTGGGAGCTGTGACTGGAACACAGGTCTAATGGAAGGGCAGCCAGAGCTCTTAACTGCTGAGCTATCTTTCCAACCCTTTTTTGAATTTTTAAACCCTGACAGCCTTTTAGAGTGAGTGGTCCCTGTATTGAAGATGACCCCACACTGGGGACACCAATGGCTTGTATTTCTGTGCTAGACCTGGGTCTTCTGGAAGAACAGTAAGCACTCTTAACTATAATGAATTTTTCTATAGCCAAAGACTTTCTGAGGAGGAAGAGCTAAAGTAATAGGAATAAATACCTGCTGGAACTTATATAAATCATTGTACTTTTCATGGAAGTCCAGGCTCAAAAGTTCCATCTGAAGTCCTTCCAGGAAGTCTTGGCTTTGGATGAAGTTGGGGATTACACAGTGAAGAAAAGGATCCATGTCCAAGACAATAGCTTCTGTTGGAACAAAAATATTGCCCCTTGTCTTTCTTCTCTTCCATATTATACCAAGTAGCAAAACAGAATACAAAAGGAGACAATCATGAATTTTTGGGAACCTAATATTTAAAGTTTAAGATTCAGAGAAGAGCCGGGCGGTGGTGGCGCACGCCTTTAATCCTAGCACTCGGGAGGCAGAGGCAGGCGAATCTCTGTGAGTTCGAGGCCAGCCTGGGCTACCAAGTGAGCTCCAGGAAAGGCGCAAAGCTATGCAGAGAAACCCTGTCTCGAAAAACCAAAAAA